CTGAAAGCAGTATCTGGGTTTGTTTAGCTTCTATAATTGAAACTCTGTTGCCATCACTGGTGCTCTAAGCTCTGAGCCCACAGACGGCTGAAAGCAGGTACTTGGGGTTTATTTAGCTTCTATAATTGCAATATTGTTTCTTAGAGTGCAGCTCAGAGGCCGGCAGCGGCAGGCGGGGAACCTTGGCTTTCTCCATCACTGGAGCAAGCAAGCCTCCTGTTCGCTTCAGCTGCCTGGCTGCTGGCCGCCATCTTGGTTGGCAGTTAATTTGCATATCACCCTGATTAGCCAATGGGAAGCGTGTCGGAGGTACAGTTAATTACCATGTTTGTCTTATTAGAGAGGATAGCTACCCCTCATCTCTTTTAGTTACCGTTTGCATGAATATCTTTTTACATACACCTTTACTCTCAGCCTATCTGTTTTTTTAAAGGTGAAGTGAGTCTCTGATAGGTAGCATATTGTTGGATCCTGTTTTTTTAAAGCTATTCAACCATTCTGTATCTTGATCAGAGAATTGTCCGTTTACATTCAAAGTTATTATTAATATATTTTTATTGATTTCAGAGAGGAAAGGAGAGGAAGATAAAGAAACATTCTTTTTTTAAATATTAAGTATTTTTTTTGTTGTTTAAAGTATCTCCTTTTCCCCCCATCGACCTCTCCCTTGCCACTCCCACCCTCCAGGACATGCCTCCACCACCCCAGTGTCCATGTCCATTGGTTATGCTTATATGCATGCATACAAGTCCTTTGGTTGATGAATTACCGCCCCTTCCCCCCAACCTCCCACCCTCTCCTCCCTTCCCTCTGAGGTTTGATGGCCTGTTCGATGCTTCTCTGTCTCTGGATCTATTTTTGTTCATCCGTTTATGTTCATTATATTCTACAAATGAGTAAGATCATGTGATATTTATCTTTCTCCAACTGGCTTATTTCGCTTGGCAGAATGCTCTCCAGTTCCATCCATGCTGTTGTGAATGGTAGGAGTTCCTTTTTTACAGCAGTGTAGTATTCCATTGTGTAGAGTATCACTGATTTTTAATCCATTCATCTGCTGATGGGCACTTAGGCCGTTTCCAAATCTTAGCTATTGTAAATTGCGCTTCTATGATTATAGGGATGCATGTATCCTTTCTGATTGGTGTTTCTAGTTTCTTGGGATATATTCCTAGAAGTGGGATCACTGGGTCAAATGGGAATTTCATTTTTAGTTTTTTGAGGAAACTCCATACTGTTCTCCACAGTGGTTGCATCAGTCTCCATTCCCACCAGCAGTGCACAAGGGTTCCTTTTTCTCCACATCCTCGCCAGCACTTAGTATTTCTTTAAGTACGTTTTTTTCTTCCTTTCTCTCTTCCTCTGGGACACCCATGATGTGAATGTTCATGTGTTTGGTAGTGTCCCATAATACACATAGAACTAATTTTTGTTCATGTGTTGTTTTCCTCATTTCATTTAGTTGTCTGTCTTTGTTCTCTTGAATTTCATTTTCTTTAATTGATTATTTTAAATTCATTGTCAGGCAACAAATCACAATTGTCAGATGAACCATAGCTTTCCATTTCTTAGAGTTGATTAGTGGAACTTTATTAGTTTCCTTTGGTGGTGTGATACTGCCTGATTAGCATGCTATACATATAACCTTTTTTGGTGCCTGTGCATTTGAAGGAGCAAACAACTCTTTATAGACTGCTTTTGGCAGGTAAAGACTTTCTTCTCTAGGGTCCCCTGGCTGATGGGATTGCCTCTGGATTGCGATCATGCTTGGTTGGAGCTGTTATGAGGCTGTCGCTGGGTCCGTGGTGCTATCCATGGTTGGTGGACTTGTTGCTACAGGCTAAGGCTGTGTAGATCCTGTCTGGCCCCTTGGTGGATAGGACTGGCTCTAGTACATTGTTTAGTAGGATGTTGTTGGGACAAGGTTCTGCTTCAGTGTCCACAGTTGGGGTCTAGAAAGTGGGCCTGTTACCAGATGTACAGATGAATGTGGCTCCCTTCAGGTCCTTGTGGGGAGGAAGGGGCTCTTGTCTGGTGACTGGATTTGTCTCTTGATGACAGGACTGGCTCTGGAACATAGCTGAGCGGGGCTGGAACTGAGCCCCAGAGCTGTTTTCAGGTTCAGAGAAGATAGAGGTCTGTAGACCTGATCCTGGAAGCACAGATGGTCATGTCTCCTACCAGGTCCCTTGGTGGACTAGATTGCGCTCTAACGTAGGTAGAGAGTTGGGATTGTTTCAGTGTCTCCCACCAGGTCCCTGTGATAGCAGTACTGCCATGGACTGGCTGAGAGAGACTGGGGCTGAGTATCAGGCCCTTTGAGTATCTCCAGCTGCTTAGTTAGGAATGTAGCTTGCTGGGTCCCTGTGGCAGCAGGACTATTCATGGACTGCAGCTGGGATGGGTTGGAACCTAGCTGCAAGGCCCTTTCATAATTTACAGTTTGACAGGTTTACCTGCAGTGGTTCCTGGACTATGGCTGGACCTGGTTCATAGGCAACTTCAGTGTTCACAGCTGAGACCAAAGCATAGGTGGGCATGGCTCCTCTCCATTTTCTTGGTGTATGGTTGGGACAGGGTCATGTTCAGTTGGATTGTAGCCAAATCCTGAGCAGTATGAACATGTTTTTGGGTCTGTAGATGGGATAGTGGTCAGTGACTCAGCTGTCTGGGTATAAGCCTTTTTTCCCAAAACAGTTCTCCTTCGTCTTAGACTATTAGAAGATTTCATAATCTGGTTCTGGAACATAGCTGAGAGGGGGTGGAACTGGATCTCAGGGCTCCCACAAAGGGGTTCGATCCCTGATCAGGATGTGTATGGGAGGCAACCTGATCGATGTTTCGCACATTGATGTTTCCCTTCTCCCTTCCTTTCTCTCTCTGCAATCAATGCAAAACATATCGTGGGGTGAAGATTTTTAAAAAAAGTTAACATAGGCATTATTCCTGATTCTTCTCTTTACCTTATATGTTTACCTTATATGTTTAATTAAAGATCCTTTCATCTCCACCTTTATATGTTCCTAACCTTACCACTTTTCTCCATTTCCATCCCTATTAACCTAATCCAAACTGCCGTCATCTTCTATTATAATATCCAAACAGATCTCCCTGATTCCATTTTACTTCATTTAAGTTTATCACCAAACTGCTAGAATTATCTTTTGGGGGAAAAAAAATCAGATTTTATCACTCCTCTGCTTAAAACCCTCCTAGAATATTCTGGCAAACATAGAAGAAAATATAAACTTCTTGTAAGACTCTGTAATCTGGGCATCCTCCTCCTCCCTGACTTTCACCACCTTCTTTCTGTTTCTTGAATATACCTTGTATCAAGCTTTACTTTGACTTAAGGTTTTATACTTGCTTTTCTCTTTGCCTGGAAGACTTCTTCAGGTATTCCCACAGCTTACTTCTTTTTATCACTAAAGTATTTGTTCTGGTGTTACCTCTTTAGACAGAGCTTCCACATATGTTTGAGCAAGGGAGCACAGCACACATGGTAGCCATTGTATATTTATATGTTTATTATAACAGTTTTCCAGCAGATGGCAGTAAAGCATCTTGAAGAATTAATGTTTTTGTAATTTTTTTAAAAGGTTTTTTTAATATATATATTTTTATTGATTTCAGAGAGCAAGGGAGAGAAAGAGAGAGGTAGAAACATCAATGATGAGAGGGTATCATTGATTGGCTGCCTCCTGCACGTTGGACCGAACCCGCAACCTACGCATGTGCCCTTGACAGGAATTGAAATTGGGACCCTTCTGTCTGCAGGCCAACGCTCTATCCACTGAGCCAAACCGGCGAGGGCTGTAATTTTCATAATGTGTCATATTGGCTAGCATTGATCCTGTTATCAGAAAATGCTTTCCTGATTACCTTATTTGAAGTGTCCTCCTGCCTCCTAGTTTGTTTTAATCACCTTACACTGCTTTTTCTTCAGAGCATCTGTCACTTCTGAAATCATATGACTGTCTACTTCTTTTATCATAATTTATTTACATCTTTAGACATATTTTGGGTGAACCAACCTTCCATTTTACTATACTTCCTATCTTCACTTGTTATTCTCTCTGCTTCATCTATTCATATCTTTAGATTCTGTTTCTTCAAGTCAGAGCTCTAATGCCACTTTTCCATGAAGTCTTTATTGATTTCCTCAACTTCCCTGGCTGAAGTGAGATCATTTCTCACTTCTAAATTTGTGTAGCATATTGGTTTCTAAACATGACTATACATCAGAATCACTTGGGGAATTTTTTAAAACATACAGATTCGTAAGACCCATCCCTAGTTTCTCTTTAAGTAGGTCTGGAATGTAACATGGGAAGTGAAAGTGGTATTTCTTAAAAAGTACAGCATATCATACACTCTCATTTGATCCTGATCAAATTAAACTTTTGTTGGAGTTATAGGTAATGAGTGCATCTAGTGTAGGGGTGGGCAAACTTTTTGACTCGAGGGCCACAATGGGTTCTTAAACAGGACCGGAGGGCCGGAACAAAAGCATGGATGGAGTGTTTGTGTGAACTAATATAAATTCAAAGTAAACATCATTACATAAAAGGGTACGGTATTTTTTTTTTTTTTTTTAGTTTTATTCATTTCAAACGGGCCGGATCCGGCCCACGGGCCGTAGTTTGCCCACGGCTGATCTAGTGTATCTCTCTTACCAGGATATAAGTAATGTGAGAGTACAGTTTGTGTCATAGATGTTTTCCTACATACTTTTATATTTGTGGAATTTAACATTGGTATATGTCATTCCAAATAGTTGTTCATTTTGGACCTGGAGAAAGTTCAGAAGATGCAGTCATGATGGATACGCCAGTGGTGAAAGCTGCCTTGGAAATGGGCTTCAGTAGAAGCTTGGTAAAACAGACAGTTCAGAGTAAAATCCTAACAACTGGAGAGAATTACAAAACAGTTAATGATATTGTGTCAGCACTTCTTCATGCTGAAGATGAAAACAGACAAGAAGAAAAAGAAAGACAAACTGAAGAAATGGCATCAGGTATTTGGAATTCTAGTAAACTGCATTATTTCCCAGTGGGGCTCATAAGATTGTCTCACATGTCATGGGGAAGTTAGTATCCTTGTCTATCCACTACCTGCTGGTAGCAGCCTCCAGCCATTTCCAAACTGCACATCCCTTCTCCACTGGGGACTGTGGACTACATTACTTATCTATGTTTATTTTCCAGTAAGATTCTTTGATATATGCTAATCAGAGGATTTTAGCATAACTCTTCTTGAGTTCTATTTACTTGTTACAACAAGTTTAAGTTGCTCTGAAAAAGCAAGTTTTTAAAGTTGAATGCAGGTCTTATTTCTCTCCTTTTTTAAGTTCCTTCAAAGCATATTCTTAATATGATATTTGACTCTGTAATCCTGAAAGCAGTCCTTATACAAAAAATAGAACTGATTATAAAATCCTAGGGCTTGGTGAGAAGCCCCTGTCCAACCCAAAGATAGGGAACTGATTTTGGTATTCATCAGATTATGTTATGTCTCAGACTCCCAAAACAAGTGTTGAGTAATCATTTCTTCAACAAATATTTATTGAACATGAACACCTATAGGAGTCATGGTGCTCATTCTCAAGGAGTTTATAGACTAGCTGTGGAGACTAGGATACAAAAAATAGGGTTAAAGAGCTAGCAGAGGTGAAGGTTGCATATATAGTAAAGGGTGTCCCAAAATTCACGCAAGAAGTATTTTGATAGAAAACACAGGTTTATTTTTTTTTAAATATATTTTATTGATTTTTTACAGAGAGGAAGGGAGAGAGATAGAGAGTTAGAAACATCGATGAGAGAGGAACATCGATCAGCTGCCTCCTGCACATCT